ACTTGGTGAAGTGCTGCAAATAATTCAACCACCTAAAGGGCGAGTGAGTCAGAAGAGTGTTCTACAAAGTAGAGGTTTGATTACATGCGCTAGTGATGGGTCTCTCTCCTTTCCCACTAGTATAAATGATGCCAGCAGGAGGATAGAGTACAATATGCTTTACCATCCTTCTATATCTAATTTCCCTCTGGTGGATGCTTTCTACTTTGTGAAATCTCCAAGAGGGAAGGCTACAATGATTGGAATACAAACGACAACTGCCAGACGACATGAAACTACATCTAGTAAAGTATGTAAATTCATTGAATATCTTAAAAATTGTTTTTCTGACTGGACTGTTATTTCCAAGGAAGTATCATGGGAAATCATTTACGTACAGCCCTACGATACTGATAAGAGGAGAGAAATAAAAGAATGGCAAGGATGCAAGTTAAAATCTCAGCGGTATACCGCCACGTTACAGAACGCTATTATCAAATTCTGGAATAAAAAGGTAAATCAGTATCAAGTGAACATGTCGAAGCCGATGATTGTATGGCTTATTGAGGCTTTAGAAGCGATGGATATAGAAAAAATAAAAATAAAAGCAGAGAAAGGGAAGAGGAGAGCAACTAGAAAGCGATGAAGAATTTGAATCCATGTGAAACATGTTTTAATTCCAGAAGTATTGGTGAAGTAAAACCTTTCTTAACATGTTGTGTTTTTTTTTGTAGTTTATTTTGAGGGTAATGCAAATATGCCGTATGGTCTCGCAGAATAATGGCTAACTCTTCGGTTTATTTCCTATTTATATTTTATGTTTTGTTTTGGGACAGAATACAAATGACAACGTATATTAATTTTTGATTTCGTTTGAGTTTTCTTTTTCTTTTTTTTGTTTTACTGCTCTTCCCGCATGCGATATTTATTGCTGTGGTGGCAGCCCTTAGGGCTAGGGGAAATTATCAAAATGCAACAGATATTCTCACTCTGTGTGAATGGAAAGCGTTTAAAACAATTCTGC